GAACTGGGCCAACTCCTTTCTAAATGAGTGGGAAGTGTCACTAGAGCATGGTGAAGAGCTGGGCACATAGCAGGCTGTGTTCTCACCCCCCAGCTCACTTTTCCCCTTGTGTGCCTCACTGGGGTGGTTCTGCTCTACTTGGGCTCCTTTCCTCTCACCCTGTTATCAACCACATGCCTCCTTCTTTATTTTCTAATGGGAAATAAACTCAGGGCTCTTGCCAGCTAGACCTCCTGCTGTTCTGAAGTCTGCTATTTGAATACTCCATTGTTACCCAGTTTTGTTGTTTCTGGGTTTTTAATATGTGTTAGTCAGTTTCAAGTGTCAGAAAATAACTCCAAGTAGTTTAAGTAATAAACACCACATTGGGGATATGGTCTCATTTAACTGAGTATCCTTTAAGGACAACCGGATCTAGGTATTCAAATGTTATTGTCAAGGCTCCATCTATCCAGTTACCTATCTATTTACCTATCTATCTCACTATAGCTCTGGTTCTGCTGCCTTCTGCAGGAAGGTGTGTCTACTGGTTGGGAAATATCACCAATGGTAGTCCACAGCTCATCACTCAAGGCTCATGATCCAAAAGTAAGACTCACTTCTTGGCATCTATATATCAAACTTCAAGGAAGATTCTAATTGGCTCTGTTTGGGGCACATGCCTGACCTGTACCAACCACTGTGCCAGGGGGGTTGGGATACTCTAACTGGCCTGCCTGGACCGCATAACTCTGTGTGTGTGGTGAGACCAGAGTGAATGACATGCCCATCAGAAGAGCAAAGAAGGGATGCTTGCCATAATTTTACTACTAACATTCATAATTACTCTGACATAATTCTACTATGAGTACCTCCACATGCCCTGCTTCCTTGTTTCTATGCATTGTTCCTCCAAGAAGCATGGCCCTTGTGGCTTTCAAACCCTACTGAGGTGACACAGCAATAGAAAATTACAAGAGCATAGAAATCTTGAGTCTTTTGAATCCCAGAAAAGGAAAGCTTCTTAGGTACACACTAGCTTCCATTGGATTATCTGACTTTCCGGAAAACACCAAGAGAGAGAGTGTGGTAATAACCTGGCTGTGAGACCTCCACTCCTACTTCCCCTTCCCCCCTCCCCCTCCTGCCTGCACTTGGGAAAACACTTATGGGTGATGAACGCTGTTACCAACAAGACAACGGTGATTGCTGATGTGGCACTTGGAGTCATTTTCCCTTGAGAGAACAGCTGAGGACCGGATAGAATCAACCAGCTGAGTCTCTTCAGGTGCTTAACTTTTATGTGAGGGCTCTGGAGCTCAATAATTCATGCTAATGCAGCCAGCAGCAAGCAAATTACATTCACACTCTGTTCCGATTTTGATTACAAAACAGAGCCCCCAGTGAGTTTTATGATGGAAATACACACTTAGGTGACTTCAGCTGGATGAAGAGCCAGGCTGCTTTGAGGTCAAATGAGCCTAAGTCAGTCTCGGGGCTGCCATACACAAGCTGTGTGACCTCTCGGTATAACATCAAACACCCCACAACTTCTGCTGCTTCAGTAAAATGGGGTGTACCATCTACTTCACTGGGTTTTGAGATCACATGATTGAGGTAATACATGGAAAGTGCAACTGGGCAAATGCCAGAAATTTTTCTGTGGCTCGCCAGAAAAACAATAATTGTTCATGCCCTTCCCCTTTTCAGATTCTCTCCCTCCCCTTCCCTTCCTCCTCCTTTACAGCGTGGAAGCAATGTGTCCTATGGGTATGAATGTAGAACTGAGAATACAAGGGGAGGGGTTGTCCAGAATGAAGAGAAAGAAGATGAAAAGAGTCTTTGTGTTAAAAATAGAATTTACAATTCACTTTCATGATACCTACCTATACTGAGGGGAGGTAGAGAAAAGATGATGAGTTTGGGAGGGCAGAGTAAATACACTAATGATAACCATTTTACAAAGTTCAATGAAATAATCTATAAATAAAAAAGCATTTTTCTTTTGGATACCAACATGGCCCACGTAAATACCCAGAAGTCAGAATCATTTGCAGAAGTACCCCAAGTTCATACTGTGAGGTTTTACAGGCCTGAATATACGTACTTCATTAAACAGTGGCATTTATGCACGCAAGTGGTCCAGTGGCTTGGGAATATATGAGTACTGCTGGCCATGTGGAGTAAAAGTAATGTATACGTTTAAATCAATGGAAAAGGTATCACACATCAACAAAAAAGAAACAATTATGAATTAACATCCTAAGGGAAGAAAGTACCACAGATGGCACTTGGTGTCAGAAAACTGGAGATTAAGTGTGTTTGACAACACGCGTTGTAATGTTATGTGTTCTCTCCAACTCCCACTGGACAGTCCACCAGTGTCCTAGGGTCATTTATGGTCAACAAAACCACTGGCGCTATCTCAGGGTTGCAGAGTCAATGCATCTTCAAAGAGGTTTAAGCGTTTAGTGCAATTTGAGTTTTATATACATGCTCAGTCATTAAACTACTCAATAAATATTAGCTATTCATGTTATTATTATACAAAGTCAAAGGGGCTTTCATTATTTTCTTAATTTTAAAATTCTTCCTTTCTTTTCTTTTCCTTTTCAAATCCAAAATAACAGTGCATTAAACAAGATGGAAGTTTATTTAACTTTCAGACAAAAGTCTGGCAGTAAAGTAGTTCAGGACTTCAGTAGTGACTCTACAACCCAGACTACTTCCTTTCCTCTGTAGGTGTAACCTTCCTCCTCACTGTTCGGGATGGCAGCTAGAGTCCCAGCCATCACATCTCCATTCCACATAGCGAAATGGAGGGAGAAAAGAGAAAACTGGTCTCATTCAGTAAAAACTCGTCCTAAAAGTTACTTAGACCCCTTTGGCCAGAACATAGCTGCCAGGGAAGATGGAAAATGTGACTACTGTTCTAGGTGGTCATGTAACCAGGAAAAAAAAGTGATTTATTTCAATGGAAAATTGGAAAGAAGGAATATGGAGGGATAACTTTGTCCCTGATACAGCCAACCCTGGGAGTGTAGCCCGTTTAGATCACCCCCCCCCCCACACACACACACACACACACATCTTTTGCTCTCATCCAGCATTCAGGTAAGAATGTGTCCAAAAAGTTGGTTGCATGGTTTGCCAATCCTACTCAGCTTGGCTTATTTCCTTCCCAAATTCCTCTCCCATGTCTTTCACTTCTCATCCCTCAGTTTTATTTATTTTATTTTTACTATCCAATTATAATAGGGAATACAATCAATTTATTGTAGAAAAGTTAGAAAACACAGCTAAGCACTTAGGGAAATAATTTTTTTAGTATTCAAAAATCTCACCACTTAGAAATAACCCCTCTTAAAATGTTGGTGATAGCCATCTGGCATTTAGCATTTTCCCTGGGTTAAAAAAGATATATGTGTATTTATAATAAAAGTTTAGTCTACACAACTGTTTTAACCTCTTCTATTATACTTAACAGTATATTCTGAGTAACTCAATGCTATTAATTATAGATCAACATCATCAATTTTAATAACTGTAGGGTATTCCATTGTATGGGTGCATCATAATTTATTCAGTCAATTCCATTTATCCACGGCCCTGTAAACCTCCTAGTACGCACATCTTTGCTGAGGATGAGCTGTGTTCCTGTGGTTTCCTACCCCTTTGGGTTCCTCTTACTGTACTCAGGGACCAGCAGGAAAGCATTCTCTGCCATCAGCAAGATGCTGCTGCTCCGGTCCTGGCTCTACCCCTAAACTGCTTGCAATTCCTTTTCAAATGAACATTGCAGCCTCAGAAGGTCCTTGAAGAACAGAATGAATGTTTTCTTCCACGCCCTTACAAAAGCAAGGCTGCCCCCAGGAGAGAGGACTGTTCCACCGCAGTGCTGAGAAAGCACAACGTGAAGCACAATCCCAGGTGACACTGGCGGGCTTGCCATTAAACCTAAGTTATTGGAACTTTCAGTTTGTCAAACTGGCTTCCGGGAGAGCAGAGTGAGGTCCTTTCTGTGTGGAGAAACCGTTTCGATTAGGAAAAAAGAAAGGCATTTGACTGAAATAATGATTTAGACAGACAACAGATTTAACAAATGATGATTCTTTAGGTAAATTTTAAATATTGATGATTGATTTCTGACTAATGATGTGTCAGTTGCACTTCCTAGAGAGGCAAACACTGGTGAGGTTTACAGTTTCTAGAGAAGGCTGAAGACAAGTTCCGCTGCATCTCCCTCATGTAACACTTTCTATCTTCGGGGAGTTTTCAGCCCAGTTTTCTTCCCATTGATAATGAGGAATATGTAGAACTGGTATCATCAGCCCTCCATTTTAGGTGATGATAATAAGGGAGATCATTTATTGAGCACATACTATGGACCAAGCCATAAGCTAAAACTATTATGAATATTACTGATTCCTCATAACTCCCTATGAGGTGGGTGTTCTATTATTACCTCATTTTGTAAATGAAGGTGGTTTAAGAAAAGAGTAAATAGCTTGAGCATGGTCACACAAGGGAAAAGAGGTGGAGCCAGAATTCACAGTCCGCATCCAGGCCCCGGAGTCGCTGACTCACTCAAGTGCGTGTAGTTGTGGAGTTAAATCCGGAACCCTGTCCCTGCATAGTGGTTAAGAACAGGAGCTCTAAACTCAGGTGGCCTGAGTTCCGATCCCATATCTGCCATTTCCCAACGGTGTCACCCCAGGCAAGTTATTCAGCCACTCTGTGCCTCAGTCACCCTACTTAGAAATGGGCATAATTAGAGTGTCCATCTCAAAGATATGGTCCACAGGTCATCTAATTCTACTATGTAATTCTACATACAATTCACCACCTAATTCTACTCACTCATAACAACCTACTTTGTGGTAAACATTGCATTCAGTGTCTACAGATCCACAAGATGATCCGCATTTAGCACGTAGCACATTGGTGGTTCAGTAGTTAATTATTAATATGATTCATTCTGTTCCTCCAGCCTCTAAGCCAAGTACATGTTTTATTGGCAGGTGCCTCGAGCAAAGGCCTTATGCAACTACCGAGGGCAGAATCCCGGTGACCTGAGGTTTAATAAGGGCGATGTCATTCTCCTTCGGAGACAGCTGGACGAGAACTGGTACCAGGGGGAGATCAATGGAGTCAGTGGGTTCTTCCCGGCCAGCTCCGTAGAGGTCATCAAGCAGCTGCCCCAGCCACCCCCACTTTGCCGGGCCCTCTACAACTTCGACCTACGAAATAAGGACAAGAATGACAACCAGGACTGCCTGACCTTCCTCAAGGTAAGATTCTGGGCAGCCACCAATGTCACTAGTGACCATGTAGAGACTGTGCAGAACCTGGAGTTGTTTGCTTAATATTTGTTTATATTTTTAAATTATATTAGGTGTATATATCTATGTATATATGTATGCATACACACATATGTGCTTGCATATGCAATGTGTGTGTATAATTCAAACTACATAGACATGAAGTCACTAGAGAAATCTATTAATAGCAGTTTGATAGAAATCCTTAAGCCTTTTCTATTAAAATTATGAGAATAAGCATTACACATTCATCATTCTACAATCACTTTGAGCACCTATTCTTTTTTCTTTTTCTTTTTTAATTTTAAAAAATATATATTTTTACTGATTTCAGAGAGAGGAAGGGAGAGGGAGATAGAGACATCAATGAGGAGAGAATCATGGATTGGCTGCCTCCTGCACGCCCCCTACTGGGGATCCAGCTCACAATGCCAGCATGTGAGCACCTATTCTTTGCAGGCGCTGGGGATACAGCATGAACAAGTCCCAGTCCCTGACCTCAGACAGAGTAGTGGGAGGAACAGACATGTGGACAGAAAATTACAAACATAATTTGATAGCGTGCTTGCAAAACTACAGTTCTTACCTCTTTATCATGTATCTGTACGGCTATTCTTATCGACCAAGTTCTCATCACCTAATTCTTCTCATTTACAACCATTTTGTTGTAAATGTTACATTCAAGACACTCCAAACACACACCATAGCATAATTATACTTTTAAACATAAAAAAACCTCTTACAAGCCCTAACCGGTTTGGCTCAGTGGATAGAGCGTCAGCCTGCAGACTGAAGGGTCCCAGGTTTGATTCCGATCAAGGGCATATACCTTGGTTGCGGGCACATCCCCAGTAGGGGGCATGCAGGAGGCAGCTGATCTATGTTTCTCTCTCATCCATGTTTCTAACTCTCTATCCCTCTCCCTTCCTCTCTGTAAAAAATCAATAGAATATATTTTTTTAAATGTTTAAAAAACAAACAAACAAAAAAACCTCTAACAAGCCCTGGCCGGTTTGGCTCAGTGGATAGAGCATCGGCCTGTGGACCGAAGGGTCCCAGGTTCGATTCCGGTCAAGGGCCCATGCCTGGGTTGCAGGCTCGATCCCCACTAGGGGGCATGCAGGAGGCGGCTGATCCATGATTCTCTCTCATGGATGATGTTTCTATCTGTCTCCCTCCCTCTCCCTTTTTCTCTGAAATCAATAGAAATATTTTTTTTAAGTATGTGTCTATCATTAAAAAAAAAACTCTTACAAGATATACTTTCCAAGGACATTAATCACCCTAAAAATGTTTTGCCTGCATACTTGTACTAAAGTCTAGACTCCTTTAATCCTCTGTTCAGTATTTCTTATTCCTTCAACATTCAAATTTCCTCATAGAAACCATAGTTGGGGTGGTTTTTATTCTTTGCTGCTTATGATAAATCAAATACAAGAAGTGGTACTGTCCCACTGGCTCGGGAAAGGTCTGCTTTGTAGGACATTTTTATTCCACCACTGCCAGAGACGAGATTTACTTCACATTCCCTCCTAGTAGATAACCTCACTGCCCTCCACATTTTGAAATACTGATCATTCTTGTCTTGGCACCTCCAAGTGAGTCCCCTAAGGAAGGTCATTCTGTAGCCCAAACTGCACAGGCCATATTTCAACTGCAGTCAGAGGAAGGACAGTTCAATTCCACAAGCCTTTACTCGGTGTTCACTTTGTGCCAGGCGTTAGACACTGTGCTCTGGGAACGCAGCTGGAGGAAGACACAGGCAGGGAGCATCCTGTATTGGGTTTTAGGGTTTTGTTTTTGCCCCTCTCTGGGGCACTTACTCTACCAGCTCATTCATTCAGTAGGCCCATCCATGTGCCAACCTCTCCATTGGGAACAAAGTAATGAGTCACTGTTCCTACCATCACAGACCCAGCAGACTAGTGGAAGAAATAGACACATAAATGGTAAGTTATGACAAGGAACCAAAAGAGAAAATTTGATTCATTCTGGAAGGGTATGGAGGTTGAAACTGCACTAGGAAATCGCATGGTCTTTCTGAACTCAGTATATCCAAATTAAACATGAACTCAGCATGGTCTTTCCCTAGTGTTTTCCATCTCATGAAATTGTACAATTTATTCACACATTCATCTATTCATGCATGCATTCATTCAAGAAATATTTTCCCCTCTAGCCAGTGCTTCTCAGTGGTTAGAGTGCTGAGCCACGCACCAAAGGGTCACAGGTTCAATTTCCGGTCAAGGACATGTGCCTGCCTGGGCTGCAAGTTTGATCTCCTGCCCTGGTCAGGGCATATGCAGGAGGCAACCAATCAATGTCTCTCTCTCACATCAATGTTTCTCTCTCTCCCCCTCCCTCCCATCACCTTCTACTCTCTCTAAAAATCAATAGAAAAAATATCCTCTGGTGAGGATAAGCAAAAAAACAAAACAAGGAAATATTTATTGGATGACTCCTAAAGGGAGGCCACTGTATTAGGTGCTGGAGACACAGAAATGAACAAAACAGACCCAGGCCCTGCACACATAAAGTTTATGTTCTGATGGGGTAGATAAGCATTAAAAAAATACTAACCACTAAATATGTAATTGCAAAGTGTAATAAGGACAGAAAAGTTAAGAAAAGATATAATGCAATAAATTGATTTAGATTTAGTTTCATTTAAATTACCCAGGGGCATGGGTCAGAAGGTCAAAGAGATCAGCAGGTGACTATTAGGTTTAGATTGATGAACAGGTATGGATGTGGAAAGAAGTCCCTGATATGGTATTAAGTAAAAAATCAATGTGTCCTACATTTGTAAGAAGTGCAAAAAGAGGCAGAATGACTAGGCATGCTAGGAGTCAGAAGAGTGGTTACCTCTTGTTAGGTGATAGGAAGGGTACAAAGGAACCTTCTAGATACTGGCCATGTTTGTAACTCGATCTGGATGGTGTTCTGTGGATATAGTTAATGTAAAAACTCATCAAGCTTTACATATAAAATTTATGTACTTTATTATATTAATTTGTGTTATGTTTTTGGAACAGATTTTAAGAATTAGTATGCTTTTTAAAATATATTTTTATTGACTTCAGAGAGTAAGGAAGAGGGACAGAGAGATGGAAACATCAATAATGAGAGAGAATCATTGATCGGCTGCCTCCCGCATGCCCCTACTGAGGATCAAGCCCATAACCTGAGCATGTGCCTCGACAGGGATTCAAACCATGACCTCCTGATTCACAGGTTGACGTTCAACCACTGAGCCACACAGGCTAGCCTAAAATTAGTATGTTTATATGTACATGTATATATGTGTTCTCTTCATAGAAAATAATCTGGGAAAAAAAGGTGTTAACTAAGGTGCTAACAGTGATCATACCTATATTGTGATAGAATTTTTTTCTTTGTTTTGCTTATCTGTATTTTAAGATGTTTCTACATATAGCCTTTTATAATAAAAAAGTCTACATATAAACTTTTATAGTAAGAAAAAGTTGAGTTAAAAGTCACTTTACATTTGATACATTGAATACTGATAGGTTCTGAAAAGTCTTCAAAATCGGAATGAAATTCATTCTTCCTTGTGCTAAGATCGTCTATCTTCCTAAGGCTTTCATCTTGATTTCCTCATCAGATTAATTTAAACAAAAAGGCTAGATTCTGCTGGTGATTAAACATTAGAAACATTTCTAAGTTTTCCTATTGGAGTCCACTGATCCTCCAAATTATTTCTATGTCTCTTGTGTCTTGGTGATCCAAGTCCGGCCCTTTATGGAAAAAGATCATCTAGCAGGAAAATTTTGTAAACAAATCATGGAAGAACTCCATGCCTTGTACCTCACACCATCTGGGGCTCCAAGCTGATGTCCACTGAGAGCTTTCACCAACTGAAAACAGATCGCTGACCATGAGACTTTTTGTCTTTCAGGATGATATCATCACTGTGATCAGCCGAGTGGATGAGAACTGGGCAGAAGGGAAGTTAGGAGACAAAATCGGCATCTTCCCAATCTTGTTTGTTGAGGTATGTGAGCATCAAGTCTACATCTGATTAAGCTTACCAGAAAGATGCATGTAACATAGTGATTCCTGAGAGCAATTTCCATTTGATCTGAGGCTTATTCAGAACTAACTAAAGTCTCTAGGAAAAGATGCCAGATGATAAGATCCAGTTCTGGCAAGAGTATGGGGCAATGGGCCTTTTTATTCTGCTGATAGGAATGTAAATTGGTGTCATCTCTCATATTCAAACTCTAACTCATATCAAGAATGTTAAAAATGTACATCTCCTTTGAATCAGCAATTTCACATCAGAGAGTTTATGATAAGGTAATATTAAAATAAGTTTGCAGAGATATGTGTATAAAATGTGCACATGTGTTAACCATAGTATTGGGTATAATAGTAAAAAAAACAGAAATAATCTAAAAACATAATAATCTAAAAAGAAACAATTAGAATTTTGTTTTTAAAAATAATGGTGATGAAAATATATACTTATTAAAAATAATATTAGAGAAGCATATTCAGTATCACGGAGTGTTTGGAATTATGGGAAAATGTTTATGATTTATTGTCAAGTAAAATAAAGTTTAACGGGATAGAGTTCTGGAGATCAATTTCACAACCATTACTTACACTACTGAACTGTACACTTAGAAATGGTTCATATGATAAATTTGATGTGATATGTTTCCTGCCAATAAAAAGAAACAAATTGAACTATATAAAACTAGCTTTACAAATATATGTGTATATATTAATGGATAAAGAACTAAAAGGAAATGTACCAAAATATCACCAAATGGTGAGACTCTAGACGATTTCAATTTTTTTCTGCCGTCTTGTATTTTGTAAATCTTCTGAAATGAGCACATATTTCTTCTTTGTTTTTTTAAAGAGGAAAGAACACATGCTAGGATATTTACCTAATATAACTTGAAGTCTCTAACCTCAGGTCATTGCAAATTTAAAGGAGAAGATTCAGTAATTAACTGCATTTATTAGTGCTTACCAGGCATAAAGCAGTAAAAGTGCCCTGGCCGGTATTGCTTAGTGGTTAGAATGTCGGCCCTTGTACCGAAGGGTTGCAGGTTTGATCCCTGGCCCCAACTGGGGTGAGTGTGGGAGGCAACCAATTGATGTGTCTCTCTCACATCAATGTTTCTCTCTCTCTCTCCTCTCTCTCTCTCTCTCTCTCTCTCTCTCTCTCTCTCTCTCCCTCCCTCCCTCCCTCCCCTTCCTCCCTTCTCTCTTCTGCTCTGTCTAAAAGATCAATGGAAAAAAAGATCCTCGGGTGAGGATTAACCAAAAATACAATCTACACTAATAAAAGAGAAAAATGGTAATTGGCGTACGACCGCTACCCTTTTCATTGGCTAATCAGCATATCCTTATGCAAATTAACTGTCAGCCAAGATGGCGGCCGGCAGCCAGGCAGCTGGAAGCGAACATGAGGCTTGCTTGCTACAGTGACTGCAGACTCCAACGTTCCCCGCCTGCGCTGCCGGCCTCTGAGCTGGCAGTTTGAAACATTCTAACAAATATAGCCGGCTGGGATCTCAGAGCTGAAGTTATACATTGTTTCGATTATAGAACTGCAAACAAACCAGCGGAAGCCTCAGAGCTAGAGCCAGAGCTAAAGCTGGCCCAGAAGAAAAAGAAAAAAGAAAAAAAGGAGTGGTTGGGAGCTTCAGTCAAAACCGCCAGCCTGAAAGCAGCCCTCAGCCCCTCACCCAGACTGGCCAGGCACCCCAGTGGGGACCCCCACCCTGAAGGGTGTGTGACCAGCTGCAAACAGCCATCATCCCCTCATCCAGGCTGGCCAGGCACCCCAGTGGGGACCCCCACCCTGATCCAGGACACCCTTCAGGGCAAACCAGCCGGCCCCCAGGCCTCTATCCTATATAGTAAAAGGGTAATATGCCTCCCAGCACGGGAATCAGCGGAGCCGCGAGGCCTCCTGGCACCAGATCAGCATGACAGGGTACAGCGCCCAAACCCCCTGATCGCCCTGCGGCTCTGTGTGTGACAGGGTGTGGCATCCCAACCCCCTGATCGCCCTGCTCTGTGTGTGACAGGGGTTGGCGCCCCAACCCCCCCCCCCCCCCACGGCCCTGCTCTGTGTGTGACGGGGTAGAACCATACCTCCCCATCGGCCCTGCCCTGAGTGTGACAGTGGCGGCGCCCCAACCCCAACCCCTGATTGGCCCTGCTCTGTGATAGAGGGCGGCGCCCCAACCTCCCATTGACCCTGCCGTGTGTGTGACAGGGGGCGGTGCCCCAACCCCCCAATCAGCCCTACTCTGTGCGTGACAGGGGGGAGCTTCACAACCTCCCAATCCGCCCTGCTCTGTGCGTGACAGGGGGCAGCGCCCCAACTCCCCAATCAGCCCTGCTCTGAGCCCGACCAGGGGCTGCACCTAGGGATTGGGCCTGCCCTCTGCCACCCAGGAGCAGGCCTAAGCCAGCAGGTCGTTATCTCCCGAGGGGTCCTAGACTGCGAGAGGGCACAGGCCGGGCTGAGGGACCCCTCCTTCCCCCCCGAGTGCACAAATTTTTGTGCACCGGGCCTCTAGTAAAATAATAAAATAAAATAAAGCAGTAAAAGTCAGTAGTGGGGAGCTATGAAAGAAGTAAAAGGCATGCTCCCTGACCTCTAGGAGAGTGGGGTAAAGACAGTACAGAGGCATAACTGGAGAGAAGGAACCAATTCTTCATTCATAAGAGTCAAAGCGGGTTGTGAAGTAAATGGAGTGTCCAGAATACTGCACAGGTCTCAGGGTTCTCTGTACCCCCTCTACTGTATCAGTATGGAAGGGATGAAAAGTGGAAAGGAGGGATGGAAGAAGGGTCCAGAGAGACTGGTCTTCTATCTCTAATAAATTCTCATTCCCAGTGCTTTTTCTCCTGCTGAGGCCCCTACCAGGTACACCCACCCCACCCAATTCTCTCTACTTGTTCAAATTTCACTCATTTTACAAGGTAGGGAGTAGGAAGAGGAAGTGGTTAAGGATCATGCTCCCTTTCTGATTTGTGTGCCTAGGTTGGTGGTGGAGCCATTTGCTTGGTCAAGCAGCATTTGCTAAAGAGGAACAATTATGTTGATTGGAAGACAGTGGTTGAGATTCTAAGGACAGAGATGAGCTACAACTAACGTCTAGCTGTACACACAGGCAGGCTGAAATTTTTGCAGATGAGAGCTCACATCATCCCCTGCATTATCTCAAGAAGCTTCTTCATAGCTGGGGCATGTGGGAGAGGCACCAATGACCAGATATTACCCACTTCTGATACCCTTCCCCCGCCCCCAAAAAAACTTCTACATTTAATGATTATTCATTTGGATACTCTCCCCACCACTTCACCTCTGATATTGGTGATTATAAGAATCCTCAAGATTGTCATCAAGCTAGCCATTGCTTCCTTTGTTCTCCTAATTGCTAGGAGGGGAATAAGATAATCAAGTGGCTGCTCTACTCTAGGAACCTGGTTTTCAAAAATGGCTTGAAACCTACATTGAGCTTTCTAAAGCAGCCCTTAGATTCTGACTTCCGTCGTTTCATTAAGACTAGCACTTGCTGAGGACTCTTTAAATAAGTTCTGCATTTCCAGTGCCATGCAAAACAGTTGGAAGGAAGGAAAGCTTTCTTATGAGAGTGATACGGGGTGTGTGTGTCTTGTTCTTGTTTTTTGCATAAACAGGATTTTTCTTGTTAATGTAGCATTGGATTTATTGAATTGCGCCTGGATAAAAAGGTGGTAAAACAAACACTGAGCTCACACCCATTCTTGTCAGAACTTCTCTAACAGGGCCTGCCTGGGTTATGTGAATCTTGCTCAGCACAATGAACCTCAAGGATGTTGTTTCAAATGAGTGGATGCAAATTTAAGAGATGTGCAATCCTTCTCCAACTGAGCCATTAGTCACATTGGCAGAGAACAAGGCAAACCAAGAGTCACAGAGGCCCTTTCTCAGTGTTGCTGATGGTGTTGCTCATCTGGGGACAGAACAATTAGGTGGAAGCAGAAAAACATTAACTTCATTGTAGCTGTGAATGACCCTGAAGAAGTTTACTCATTCAACTCGAAGAGTGTATATTGTCCTCTTTCTGGATGAACAATGGAGGGATAGGTGCTCTGGGGACTGGAAGGGCATTGTCCCTAATCCAGAAGGCTGTCAGAACTTGCCTAAACAGTTTCAGTAAATTCCTAAATGGTCTCCCTCCTTCTAGTCTGGAATAATACCTTTTTATGTATTTATTTTTATTTGCGTACAATAAAATTTACTCTTTTTGGTGTCCAATTCTACATGTTTAGGTAAATGTATTCAGAATAACCACACCATCATCAAGATATAGAGTAGTTCCAATGCTCCCCAAAATACGAGGTGATGCTGCCCCTTTGTAGTCAGCTCCTTCCCTGATTCCCACCCCCTGGCAAATACTGATCTGTTTTCTGTTCCTATAGTTTTCCTTTTTCCAGAACGTCATAGAAATGGAATCAAACAGAATGTGGGCTTTTGAGTCTGGCTTCTTTCACTTAGCACAATGCATTTGAGATTCATTCATGGTGTTGCATGTAGCAAGTAGTTCATCCCTTTTCATTATTGAATCATATTCCACTGTACGGATGTGCCAGAGTTTATTCATCCACCAGTTGAAAGACATTGTAGTTGTTTCCCTTCCTTTGTTGGCAACTGTGATTAAAGCTGCTATAAACATTTGCATATCATTTTTAGAGTGAGCATAAGTTTTCATTTCTCTCCGGTAATTATCTAGGAGTGGGATTGCTGGGTTGGATGCTAAGTATGTGTTTAACTTTGTAAGAAACTCTCAAAGTATAGCAGGAACTTCCAAAAGCATAAATCAGATCATGTCACTCCTTTACCTAAATTATTTCAAAGGCGTCCTTACACTTAAAACAAACATGAAGCTTCCCAGGCCCTTTGAGATCCAGCCCCTGCCTGTCTCTGTGGTCTCCTCCACACCTGCTTCTCACTTGCTCTGTTCCAGCCCTCTCTCTTTCTTCCTTGTCTTATTCTCAAACAGGCTGAGCTTGCCACCACCCTCCCACCACACCTCCCTCTTCCTCCTCCCTCCCCCATTCCCCTGCCACCTTTCAAGACCTTTCCACTAATTTATAATCCCTCTGCCTGGCCTGTTCTTACCCAGTCTTCACGTGGCTGGTTCCTTCTTGCCATCTGTGTCTCGGCTTAAATGTCCCCTTCTCAGCAGGTTTTCCTGGATCCCCCAATCTAAAGGAGCCACCTCCCCCAGTCACTATCACAGCAGAACATTATTACTATCAGACATTTTCTCATTTGCTTGTTTCATGCTGGCTTTGCCATTTATAAGTCACCCCTTCTGGGCCTCAGCTTTCTTATCTTTAAAGTGGACAACATAATGCTTCCTCCCCTACTTGATTATTTTTTTCACAATATTAAAAGCTTCTTGAGACATAAACTACATCTGCTTTAAACTTTTCTCTCTTGATTATTTTAATCACCTGCACATTGTCACTGAAAAGTTCTTAAGTGGGCATATTCCCTTTTACTCTATAGTTGAATTTCTAAATTATAATGAGACGGACCAGATGTAGTTTCAGAGGGCAACTGGTGACAGTCATAATGACGCATGTTTAAGTACTTGTTCTGGAAAGTTTTATTCACACAGACCCCCATTTTGTCAGCGTATTTCAGGTTTCTGGAGGAAATGAATTCATGTGGGCCCTTGGTGGGCAGGGTATTCAAAATATAATGCAGTCAGTGGTTGTGCTAGAACTAGTTGGTACTAGACTGCAAGAGCTGGTTGTTATATTTTCAGGAATTTTGCTAGCCAGTTGTTGAACCATTGGTAGATATTTACACCACAGAAATTGGTAGACTCTACAAATCAGGAATGGCGAGTGAGGTGGTGGCATTTGAACTGGCTTCAGACTCGCCTGGGTAAGACTTAGTTGGTCATATAAGACCAGGAAGACTAACTTCTCACCAAACCTTTTGTCTTCTCAGCCAAACCTCACCGCAAAACACCTGCTAGAGAAGAACAAAGGCCGCCACCCGTCTCGCACAAAAAGCCTGTCCCTGGTGTCCTCCTCCAGAGGCAAAGCCACCAACACGCCCAGCCTCCGAAGGGGCCCTGGGTCCAGGAGGAAGGGGCCCGGGCAGCTCTCCATCACGACAGCCTTGAACACCCTCAACAGGATGGTCCATTCTCCCTCGGGGCGCCATATGGTGGAGATCAGCACCCCAGTGCTTATCAGCTCTAGCAACCCCTCTGTGATCAGCCAGCACGTGGAGAAAGCAGATGTTCTTCCCAGTTCTTTGGGACAGGTAGGAAACAGACCCTCGGGATAAGGGCACCTTGGAGTTGGTCAAGTGATCCACACTATGTCACAAGCAAAATTGGATGTTTAGTACCTGCTAAGCACTCATAATGCGTAATAACAACGAGTGTATTGTGTGTGTCAGAGTTGAAACAGCCTGTGAATTAGGTATGATTAGTGTTATCCCCCCTTTACAGGTGAGAAGACCGAGGCTTAGAGGAGTTTAACGATTTGTCAAATTCTCACAGATGCTTTGCTTTCCCATGCTAAGAGCCTTGACATGGTCCCTTTCCCCTAGAGAACTTCCCTTCAAGGAGATAATGGCACCCATTTTTCAAAGGGGGTCCTGGCGTTACAATTTGAAATTTATTGGTCCATCCTCCAGCAAGGTACTGGGCATCATGTGGAAAAGAAGAAAAAGAATTTACGAGTTACTGGGTGTTTGGAGGGCTGGCTACATAATTTGCAGGGCCCAGTGAAAAATGCTAATGCAGCTCCCTTACTCAGAAGTGATTAAGAATTTCAAGATGGCAACAGCAGAGTATGAAACAAGTGGAGGGCTCTTCTGAGCACTGAGCCTTGTGTGACTACACATGTTCCACACCCCTGAAGACAGGCCTGGGTGTTTTCATATGGAGCATCTAATGCGATACTGTATGTAAAGTGCTTAGCACAATGCTGGGCACATACTAAGCACCCAATAAGCATTGGCTCTTAATACTGTTCTTAATAAGCCTGGTCACTGAGTTGCCAGCTGAAGGGAAAGAAACCAGGGCAACTGTGGCACTCCAGAGCAGAAGTACTTCAACAGCGGGTGGCTCTTTAGGCTGAAGGGTACTTAACACATGAAGGACTGGAGGTATGAGGCAACGTAATTAAGAACTGCATGTTGGCTATTCTGCTGAAAACACTCTTTGGAACCATGCAGGTGGCAACTTGAGAGGACAAACCTCAACTTGCATGATGCATTTTTTTAAAGCTGTAAATCTTGTTTTTAAACATGAATCTCTACCTTGGGATTAAATGGCTTAATTGGACTCTAATCCCTTTTTAACAAGACAGGGAGGAGGAGAAAGTCAAGGACTCCTGAAAGACCTGTGTACTGGTCTAAAAGGAAAACAATCACCTTTTATAACACTTCACATTTTACACCACTGTCTGGATTGCCAAGAGGCTGGCTGCCCCTGTACCTTTGTCCACCACCTGCCGCGCACACACGCGCACACACACAAACACACACACTTCTCTCCATATACACTCTCCTCCAACTTAAAAAATCACACTTATAAGCTCCCATTCTACACACACATTCCACACACGTTGTTACAAGTACGTACACACTTTGTGCCCAAAGTTCTTCTCCCTCCAATACACACACACACACACACACACACACACGCACACACACACAAATGGGGGCCTACTGACTCACAATTTAGCCAAAGGAGTGACAAATTTTTCTGAAACTATTCTTTATATATAGACAGATCTATAAAGCACAGCCCACATTCAGTGGATTAAGCTAGCTGATTCAGCTGTACATTGGCTTCTCAAAAGATTTAGCCAAATCACTTTCCATGTGTCATTTCAATTCTTCTTCCTGCTCATTTACCTCATCTACAGAGAGGCTGGACAGGAGTGGAGAATCCTAATGGAATTCAAAACAAGTATTTCTTCCTAGTTTTCACAAACAGTGAGAATTCCAAAGTGTGGCATATGCATATACTATTCCCAGGGAACCACTGCACGGTACTAATAGTGGAGGGGGGGCGGGGAGGTTCGATTCAGAAGGTTGTGGATTATAATTATTTCTACATTTTTGCCCAGGTGTTATCATGAACAAATGTTTGTGGAATAAATATTTGCTGTTCCTCCAGGAATTTATTTTTGATGCATTTGCCTGTCACAACCCTCTGCATGCCCCAAAGCCCTGTATGCCCACCATTTCTTCACGGCAGCTCTGCCTTCCCCTCCCCTGCAGAATTAATCTCGCTCCCCTGTGGTCACAGTGCATGGCTCACACTCCTGTTCTTTGTACTATAAATACCGTGTATAATCTTACCACCTTGCTCACTAAATTGAAAACTTAAGGGCAAGGATGATGTTTTATTCATTTACGTTGCTGTTGACTTTCCAAAGCCGCAGTAAAGGTTTCCAATAACATATTTTGCCTCAAGAATCAAAAAACAAAGCAGCAGCCTATGACTTACTTAAACAATTACCAATCCCTTCCCCCTCTCATAATTATCCAGAAAACAAGAGCTAAGACAGAGAGGAAAAGGCAGGTTGCAGAAGTCAGTGTAAGGAATGCAATTCCCTGCCCCTCCTCCGTCCCATTCCAGGATGCTAATGACAAGTCCCAGCATCTCCCCTGGGCTCCTGGGAGGATGAGCTGGCATGCACGTTGGGGAATTCTGGGGTCTACAAAGCTGACTCCTTTCGATCCTATATTTGAAATATTCTGAATAAAGTGATTTCTTTATTCACTTTATTCGAGTTCAAGGAACCTGAACCATTAAGTCCAGATCCTGTCCCAGGGTGTCCCTTTGTCTTCATCTTTCAGAGGAATCTCCCAACCCAACTTTACAGTACTCAGGAGCGCCATGAGAGGTGGTTTCTACTTAGTATTAAGATAATTTTTCCCCTTGAACACACTCTCAGTCTAATTTATGGCTAAGATGGTTTAGCTAATCCTCCTTCTAAGGTAATTTACAGAAATAAATTTATACCGAGAAGTGGAATTATTAGATCATATGGTAACTCTATAGTTAACTGTTTCAGGAACTGCCAACTAGTTTCCAACGTGATTGCACCATGTTGCATTCCTATCCACAGGGTGTGAGGGTTCTAGTTTCTCCACATCTTCACCAACATTTACTACCTGTCCTTTCTATTATAGGCATCCTAGTGGGTATGAAGTGGTATCCATGTGGTTTTGATTTTCATTTCCTTGATGGCAGTGACGTTGAGGAGCTATTCCTGTGTTTATTGCACATGTGTTCTTTGGAGAACTGTCTATTAATATCCTTTGCCCATTTCTTAGTTGGGCACCTTCTTCTTCTTGAGTCCTAAGTGTTCTTTATATATTCTAGCTGCAAGTCACTAATCTGGTAAATAATGTGAAAATTTTCTCAGTCTGTGGATCGCCTTTTCACTTCCTTGGTGGTATCCTTTGAAGCCCAACATGTTTTAATTATGATGATGTCCACTTTACCTACTCTTTCCTTTGTTGCTTGTGTTTTCCATGTAAGAGTTTTATAGTTCTAACACATTTAGTTGTATGATGCAGTTGGAGTTAATTTTTGCATATGTCATGAGGTAGGGGGTCCAAATACCTTCATTTATTGTAAAAGAATGCCTCTCATTTTGCGTTAAAATTGTTTCAGATTCAGGTGTTGTCAGCCTTCTCCATCCATTATAAGCCTCCCCATCAGCATTTCACCTAATGATTTGAGGTTTTATTCATGAACATATTTCATTTGAGATTGAAAATGCTGACATTCTAAATCTATCATTCTTCCTGCAATTCTTCTATGAGATTGACTACTACTTTTTGAGAGCTGGTTATGTGCAAGATACTATCCTGTTTTACCTAAATTATTTCATAATGATCTCAAAGCCTGCACATCATAGGCCCCCATCACATACTGGGTAACCGAAGTTCATGCCTCAACCACTATATTCTCATTCTCTCTCTTCCTCTCTCATTCTCCCTCTTGTTTGCTCCTAGGCGTTCTCAGAGCTCAAAGACAGGACTCATTTCTCACCACCTTCTCGCCTGGCATGTTTGACATCACTGAACTGCTACCCATTTTTCCACTGGCCACTGCCAGCTGGGCTAATCTTTCCCTGCCTGTCTGTGCCAGTCTCCTTGTTTACATCCTTATCGCTGCCCTCAGGCTGGCCTTGGCGCCCTGGCCCCTTTGGCCATGTGTTCACTCTCCCGCCCCTCCTGAGGTCTGGTTCCCACACCTGGGCTATGGCCAGGAGAAAAGGCTGGGGTTTGTCCAGCCTGGAGAAGAAAGGGCTTCAGGGTTCATGCGGGGATGGGCAATGGCTTTATTTTTCCAAACTTGGGTTTATATACTGGTTTTGTGTTCTGGTGTCCAGAAGAGAAAGGGGGCATAAACCATAACATGGAGGATTTCATGAGGTGCAAGGAGAAATCTCTCCTAGCACATAGATTCTTAGAAACCAAATACTGAAAGTGCTGAAGGAGCCTATAGGATACTCTTCTTGTTGGGTTTTGCTTTGCGTTTTACTTTTCCCTGGAGAGAAAGGCAGCTTAGTATAAATGAAAAGGCTTTGAGTCAGGCAAAGCTTCTTGCCATGGTTTTGCCGCCTAATTACTGACATTGAGCCTTGGTGTCCTCATCTGCCAGATGAGTAGGCCCTTCCATGCAGGGCCTTTGCAAGGGTTAGCCCTGACTCAGGAAGCTGTAGCCATCGTTCTGACCCCCTTTCCTCCAAGCAGAGCCTTTGGAGTATTTCATCCTTAGTGTGATTGAAGGGAGTCCCTGATTTAGAGCAGGGAATGAGCCAAGCATCTTCCAAAATCTAGATGACCCTTCCTATCTGAATCCCCTAAGGGAGTGGTCAGCGAACTGCGGCTCTCAAGCCACATGCGGCTCTTTGGCCCCTTGAGTGTGGCTCTTCCACAAAATACCACATGCGGGAGCGCACGTACAGTGCGACTGAAACTTCGTGGCCCATGTGCAGAAGTCGGTATTTTGTGGAAGAGCCACACTCAAGGGGCCAAAGAGCCGCATGTGGCTCACGAGCCGCAGTTTGCCGACCACTGCCCTAAGGTGTATTTTTCACAACTACTAGCAGATATGGAGGTGATCTTGTCTCATTTTACATGGAAAAAAACTGATACGAAAGCTATTTCCATAACAGACTCAAGGTCTGCCCCCCCCAAAACAAATGAACTAGTTGCAATTTCAGATAGAACTAAATGTCCCTAAGTCAGGTAATGCCTCATCCTGGAGCCACGTAATCCCAGTC